TCGCTCGCCACGCCACGGCCGTCTGCCGACAGTGATGTCTACTTCTCTCCTTCGTCTCAGGGTGCAGCCTGCTGAGTGGCCTGTGGCCAACCCGGGGGCCAGGCGGACCCCTCCCCACAGGCTGCGGGGGAGATGCCCATGTGAGCTGGTCTGGCTCCGGTCAGCCGTCCGTCTGTCTGCCTCTGCTCTTCTCACTAACCTCCCAGCTCCCCACCCCCAGGGACACTGGAGGAGGGGGCACAGCAGTGTGGTCTCTGGGGAGCCCACCCCGCCCACTCTGCCAGGCAGAGTGCGGGGGACGCCTTGGGAAATCCGTCCCTCTCTGTGATTAGTCCTTGGTGATGGAGGGCACTGCCCCCCCACCCACCCCAGAGCGGGAGCCAGACCCCCAGGCTTGGGGCACCTCCACGGAACAGGTGGCACACCCGTAGGCTGCAGGGTCCTCAGATGGCCAGACCCCTACTTTCCAGCCTCAGCCCCTCTCCCAGGCTGCCTCCTCCTCCCACTAACTACGCCTGTTTCTTCCTCAGAATTAACCCCAGATCGGGCCTCGCTGGCTCCTTAACCACTCTCTTCTCTTTTCTCTGGGTTGTAGCCTCCTGCCTTCCACTAACTGCGGGCCAGCGGGAGGTAGCTGAGTGAGGCGTGGGGCCAGCGCGGGGCTGGGCTGGGCTTGGGGCGTGGGCAGCAGTGGCCGGGGTCTCCCCCTTATTCCCTTGGAGTGATCGGAAAAGCCCAAGCTTTGCTTGCATGGGGAATGGGAACTGAGAAGCCGGGCTGGGCCGATACGGGCACTTCCAGGCCCAGGGCCAGGGCTGGGCTCAGTTGACATCCGCTAGCACTCCTGAGCTCAGACTGAATCAGGCAGACGCGGGACTCCTGTCCCTGCAGACAGGTGAGGGAAAACAGAATGACCGACATGGACCAGTGACAGCTGACCCTCACAGGCCCAGAGACCAGGGGAAACTGAGGCAGGAAGCCCCGGCCACTGCTCCGATGGGACCCGGGACCCCGGCCGGCCCGTAACCCACTTCTCCTCTCGGCAGTGCCCGCAAGCGCCCCATCCCCTACTACCGGCCCAGCCCCTCCTCCTCCTCCAGCTGCCTGAGCAGCGACTACTCCAGCCGGAGCCACAGCCGCAGCCACAGCCCGGGCCACAGCCACGGAAGCTACAGCAGCCGCAGCCGGACCCGCAGCCGCACGCGCAGCCCCTCCCGGACCCCCAGCCCCAGCTACCACAGCCGGAGCAGCTCTGAGAGTGGGGGCCTCTGAGCCTAGAGGGACCCAGCCTGATCCCCCGCCCCCGCCGGGGTGGGGAGGTGATGTCCCAGGACTCGAAGGGCGAGGGGGCTGTGTCCTCCCACCCCTACTGCTACAGAGATCCTGGGGCCAGCGCGGGCAGGGGGCACCCAGGAAGACCCTGAGGGTGGGTGCCCGCCCAGCGGACAAAAGGAGGAGGAGCCAGCCTGAGCTGCCCACCCCACCTCCCGGCCCACACACCGCATCCAGGGAACAAAGAGCCGTGTGAACACAGGCCTCGCCTGCCCCTTACCGCTTGACGCCAGCTTCCCAGGCTGCGGCCTGCCGTGTCACTCACAGCTCAGCATCCCCAGGCACACCTCGGAAGGTGCCAGACCTGGGGGCCCCTCCCACTCCACTGGCCCCTCCCCTCCTCTCTGCCACCGGGCCATGAGGAGCTGGACACCAAGCAGGAGCTATGCTAGACACAGGCAGAGCTGCCTGGCTTTGGCGCCCCTCCTCCAGGCCGGCTAAAGGAGGACCCCGGCTCAGGGCCGGCGGCTGGGCCTACAGCTTCCCCGAGCCCTGGTCCTGGCCTGGGCCCAGAAGTACCTGGACTGGGTAGCCCCAAAGTCCCAGCCTGAAGGTCAGCCTCACCCCTTGGCCTGGGCCAAGGCCACACCAGCCAGGCTTTCTGCATGACAAAAGGCCCGGGGAGGGGGGTACAGGCCACAGCTGCACCTGACCCTGAGGTCAAAAGGGGTCAGGAGGTGGAAGAGGAAGGGGTGGAAATGCAACGCAGGTGCCCAAAGGGATGAGCGAACAGGCCATGGGAGCTGATGGGGCGGGAACCAGGTCAGCGCGTCCCGGCCCCAGGACAGCTCAGGGCCACAGGCACAGGAGAACGTGCGCTTTGGGGCCTGGTCAGCCAGGGAGCCCCAGATCAGAGGAGGGAGGGCAGGATCTGGGCCCTGGCCCTGGCCCTGGCCCTGGCCTTGGCCTGGGGCTCTGGGGGGAAGTAGCAGCTCCGGTCCTCCTCTGTGGCTCCCAGCCCCCTCCTCCTGGGGCCCTCAGGGATCTCACAAAGTCTTCCTTGGCCCAACAGGGCAGATGCCCTGGGCTCAGTGGGGGGAGGGGTCTGGGGTCTGGCCGGGTTTCCCCTCTCTCCATTTCCCCTCCCTCTTTCTCCGCGGTGCGGATAAAAATTGGACTCCAATAAAACACTTGGTGCCCGGATGGCAGGTGGTGAGACCCAGCCTCTGTGATGGGGGGCACCTGGGAGGTTGAGGGGGTCCTGGCGCCCTTCCTCCCGAAGAATGAGGGGGACCGGAGGCCCCTGGACGCCAGGGAGAAGAGCCAGCCCCCAGGAGCAGGGCCCTGCGCTCCTTCCTCCTACTCAGCGCTCACACATGGAGGATGTCGGCCATCAAAGACCCACCGTCCTCCCGGGCTGGGGCCCCTGAAGGGTTTAGAACACGCTGATGGCGCCCAGCCCAACACAGCCAGCCTGGCCTCAGCATGCGTGCGGGCTGGGGCAGAGGGAGGAGGCAGCGAGGCCCTGCACTGCCCCAGGCAGTGCTCCAGAGTGGTTAGAGCACTGTTGGTGTGACCCTGGGGTCCTGGCTTCCCAGCTCTGCAGCACAGGGAGCACAGATCAACACTGGCATAGAGCCAGTCTCCAAAAGATGGCCGCCGGGGGGCACGCTGTCTGGAGGGGAGTGTTTAGAAGTGTGGGTTCCCCTTGTTTATTTAACGGCTATTCCCACTGCATTTCTTAAATATATGTATTGGAGACAGAGATCTCCCATCTGCTGATTCACTCCTCAAGTGTCCGCAGCAGCCAGGGCCGGGCCGGGCCAGGCACTCCAGCTAGGTCTCCCATGTGGTGGCAGGCACCCAGGGACTCGAGCCATCCTGTCTCCCAGGGTGTGCATTGGCAGGAAGCTGGAATGGAGAGCCGGAGCGGGACTCCGACCCAGGCAGCGCAGCAGTGTCCTAACTGCTGCCCGTTGCATTTCTTTCTCCAACAACAGAGCTACATTCAGTCCTCCTCCTCTTCCTCCCCCCCTCCACCTTTTTTTTCTCCTTTTTTTCTCTCTCCTAGAAGGGTGACTTTTAAGTGTGTTTTGACCCACATGTCCTTTGCGAATCTCATGAAGGCTGAAAACCCTTCGCCCACGGTTTGGCCTGTCACACTGGGTCTCAGGGTCACTCCGAAGCCCAGGAGGGCCCATGGTTCAAGAGCTCTGGTCCAGGGGCCGGCGCTGTGGTGCAGCAGGCAAAGCCACCACTTGCAACTCTGGCATCCCATATGGGTGCCAGTTCAAGTCCTATCTACTCCACTTCCAATCCAGCTCCTTGCCAATGCACGTGGGAAGGGAGTGGGAGATGGCCCAAGTGATTGGGCCCCACCACCCACGTGGGAGACCTGGATGGAGTTCTTGACTCCTGGCTTTGGCTCAGCCTGGGCTGTTATAGCCATTTGGGGAGTAAACCAGCGGATGGAAGATCTACTCATTCATTCATTCTCTCTCTCTCTCTCTCTCCTACTCTCTTTCTCTGCCTTCCAAATAAATAAATCTTAAAAAAAAAATGTTGTGGTCCACCTCTGCTAAGGGTGCAGCCTGCTATGACCACAGCCCCTGTCTCTCCATGAGCCATGACACAGGTCCCAGGTCCCCAGAGCCCAAGGCTGTATCAGCTCACGACCCCCATTCTAGCTTCTCTACCCTCGAACAAGACAGCACGGGGCACGGCCTCCGGCCAGCGGCTCTGCTTCTGAACCCAGGACACTGTTCTGGTGATTCCTTCAATCCCTTGTTCAAATTTAGCTAAATTGGGGCCAGCATTGTGGCGAAGTGGGTAAAGCCCCGCCTGCAGTGCCCGCTTCCCACGGGGGCACTGGTTCAAGTCCCGGCTGCTGCACTTCCCATCCAGCTCTCTGCTGTGGGCTGGGAAAGCAGCAGAAGATGGCCCAAGTCCTTGGGCCCCTGCACCCACGTGGGAAAGCCAGAAGAAGCTCCTGGCTCCTGGCTTCAGATCGGCACAGCTCCAGCTGTGGCCAACTGGGGAATGAACCAGCAGATGGAAGACCTCTCTCTCTCTCGGTCTCTGTCTCTGTCTCTCTCTCTCTCTCTGCCTCTCCTTTTCTCTCTGTGTAACTCTGACTTTCAAATAAATAAATAAATCTTTTTTTAAAAAGTAACTAAAGCTAAAATCGGTATGTTCTTTTAAAAAAATAGGTTAGCATAGGGGCCGGCGCTGTGGCACAGTGGGTTACGCTCTGGCCTGAAGCGCCAGCATCCCATATGGGCACCGGTTCAAGACCCGGCTGCTCCACTTCCTGTCCAGCTCTCTGCTATGGCCCGGGATAGCAGTAGAAGATGCCTCAAGTGCTTGGGCCCTGCACCCACGTGGGAGACTCGGAAGAAGCTCCTGGCTCCTGGCTTTGGATCGGCGTAGCTCCGGCCATTGTGGCCATCTGGAGAGTGAACCATCGGATGGAAGACCTCTCTCTCTCTCTCTCTCTGCCTCTCTTCTCTCTGTGTAACTCTTTCAAATAAATAAATAAATCTTTTAAAAAAAATAGGTTAGCATAAAATCAACCTGAGTCCCACAGAGCCTGGTGCTGGCCTAGGGGCGCTGCTGCCTCCCTGCTGGTTCCCCCACTCCCAGATCCCAGCCCACCTTCCTTCTTCTTCCACAGCCCACAGCCAGGCTGTGCCCGCAGGTGTGCCTGCTCCCGTCTCTCTCACCCCAGCTCCCTTCTCTCTCACCCCAGCTCCCGCTCCCATTTGCCTGCATCTTGCCCTATCCAAGCCCTCCACCAGTGCTACCATTCATTTGCCGACTGCACCTGCTACCTGCCAGGCGCTGCCTCTGGCTCTGAGAACATGGTGGTGGATGAAGGGCGGGCCCTGCCTGCTGTGATGTCTACCGGCTCCCAGGCCTTGGCAGGCCCTGCCGGAACGTGCCGTCCTCCACCCTCGGCTCCCACCACTGCCATCCGGCACAGTCCAGCTGGCCGCAGTCCCTGTTCTTCCAGCTGCACAGCTTTGGGGAGCCCACGGTGTGCAGCCCAGTTTAGCTCCCTCCTACTCCATGGAGCCTTCCTGCCCCCTCCCCCGCCCCAGCTGCCACACTGCTCCTGTCTCTGGATTCCTCCTCCAGAAACCTGCTTTTAGGCCCTCAGCCTCTCTCTCCCTCTCTCTTTTTTGAGAGGTAGAGTCACAGACAGTGAGAGGGAGACAGAAAAGTCTTCCATCTGCTGGCTTGCTCCTCAAGTGGCTGCAATGGCTGAAGCTGGGCCAATCTGAAGCCAGGAGCCAGGAGCTTCCTCCAGGTCCCCCTGGAGGGTCCAGGGGCCCAAGCACTCGAGCCATCTCCCGCTGCTTTCCCAGACACATTAGCAGGGAGCTGGATTGGAAGAGGAGCAGCTGGGACTAGAACTGGTGTCCATAGGGGATGCTGGCACCACAGGCAAAGGATTAACCTACTGCACTACAGCACCGGCCTCACCTTTTTTTTTTTTTTTTAAGATTTATTTATTTATTTGAAAGTCAGAGTTACAAAGAGAGGAGAGAGATCTTCCATCTGCTGGTTCACTCCCCAGTTGGCTGCAACGGCCAGAGCTGCGCCAATCTGAAACCAGGAGCCAGGAGCTTCTTCCGGGTCTCCCACATGGGTGCAGGAGCACAAGGACTTGGGCCATCTACCACTGCTTTCCCACGCCATAGCAGAGAGCTGGATGGGAAGTGGAGCAGCCGGGACTAGAACTGTTGCACACATAGGATGCCGGCGCTTCGGGCCATGGTGTTAACCCCGCTGCACCACAGCGCTGGCCCCAGCCGTGTTTATTTGTTGACACGTCTGTCTCTCCCCCAAAGCTCTGAGCTTCTCGACACCAGGCCATGTCTTTTTTTTTTCTGCCTCCCCCAAACAGGCACCTTTGGCACGTTTGTTGACTGAATGAATGGGAGAGGGAGCAGGGGGAGGCCTGAGACCATGGTGGCCGGAGGCAGACACTAGAGGGCGACAGAGAGTGAGGAAACAGACGCAGCTCCCGAGAGACCCACCACCCGCCACTTGAGAGGAGAGGGGTCGGTTCCCTGGGGAAAGAAGAGCACCGGCCCGCCCACCGACCAAGGGCTCAGCTCGAACTCTGCTCCGCAACGTGGGGGAAGGGAGAACACCAGGCAGGAAAACAGGAAACCCAGTCTGGCCAGCGCACAGAGGGGAGCGGTGGGGTCTTTTTCCTCCAAGGTCTCTGTGTCTGGGCCCGGCTCTTCTGGTCTTGGGACGCTGCAAGTCCCCTCCTGGATGCTTCTTCAGATGGTCCCCACCGGCCCCGGGACCACCTCCCCCACCGGCCCGGCCCCCCACACATACAGCAGCTGGGGGCTGGACAGGGGCTCTTGTCTGCCTGGCTGCGTGTTCCCTTTGTCTGAAGTCTGTTCCCTGCAACCTCAGGCTACTGTGTGGCTGTCCCAGCCCCCACCCCCACCCCCACCCCGGGTGGCCACGCCCTGCCTCTAGATGCTTCTGGAAGTTCTAGATGCTTCTGGAAGCTCCCTACCAACACTCTCACCTGAGAACTCAGCAAACTGGCCCTGGTGCCAATTCCCCCAGCACCCCCTCCACCTGGGAGCCTTCTCAGGAGACCCCAAGACATGGGGTGTGCCAGCCTCCAGGGCTCCCCCCTCCAGCTCCTCCTGCAGGCTTGGTTGGACTCGGCCCCTCCCGCTCCTCGGCTTCACCGTCTTGGAATTCCAGTAAAGCCCCTGAGTCCCGCCCAGGCTTAGCAGGCCGGCAGGGAGGAGAAGTCGCATCCAGGGCCCAGTGAGTGTCTCCTCCCCGTCCCCTCCTGACCCCTCCCCGACTGTTCTAGAAGACGTGACTGACACCGTTTAAGCATGATAAGGACAATTCTTTTATCCGGGACCACCGTAAGAGGAACGGCAGTGGGATCTCGCAACCCAGGACGTTTGGGTTTAGGTCTGAATACACGAGGGCCCGCCCAGGGGCAGGGCTGGGGCCAGTGGGTGGAGGATGATTGACATCAAAGGTAAGGACGAGGTGGGCGGAGATTCTAGCTAAACCCACCTATCAGGACCTGGGCATGGTGGAGGATGAGGAGTCGCTCAGATCCGGAAGGTAGGGGCTCCCGCTAACCTGACTTACCCGGATTTTCCGAGAACGTGCATGGGTCAGGAACCCAAGTTTGGTTAAGGGGCGGG